TTGGTTCTCTATTATTCTCTACTACTTTTTTTTTGCTTTGAGAAAACTCCTTGAGAATTTTCGATATATCTGTTTAAAATAATTTTGGATGAAGTTTTTAAAAAATGACTTCTTGCAAATTCATAACCTTTTGGAGAAATGTACCTCCAGGTAATACAATGACGTACTGTAACCTCAGACCATCTTAGGTTTTTTAGGGAATAATTTTAAATTTGCTCAAGTAAAAACACAATCCTTGGTTCTAAGTCCTTTGTATCTGACTTAATGTTCACTACACTGTCAATTTATTTCTGCATTTTCTTTAGTTTTTCAAGTTTATTGTCGTACAGCTTTCTCCCCTAGTCCACAGTTTGGAACACAGGAAGTTGGTAAACTTGGCATTTTAAGAATTATAATGTAATGTCTGAAACAATGATACTATTGATACCACTACTATTGATCAATATTTGATTAAATATGTCAACAATTGTCACATTTGATTTCCTGCAAATTTTCAAATTTCACTAATTACAGTTTCCTTTGGAGCGTGACACGCGCGTCATCTACCGAAATTTACCATTTTGACAAGTTCACGATTTTGGCCTATTGTATAGACTTTATATTACTGTCAAACAAGGCAGTATTAACAATAATGTTTTGCAAAGAAATGAGTTGTAAGAGACTAAAATGAGGTTAACTCTGTCCAAAATTTTGGTCCATTAGTACCTTCTAAAATGGGAAATTGTTAAAAACATGTTAGTCTCGCTAAATATTAGGTCCTTGGACTAGAAACTGTGTAAAATGGTTATTTTCATTGTGGTTTTTAAAATCGTTGATAAAATAACTGTTTGTATGGTCTTTTAGAAAGTTTGAATCGTCTCTTTGCTTTGTAACAAGCTCTCACTCCAGCTAATTGCTTTGACAGGCGTACGTCAGTGGCACAAGAATCTGTCATTTGCTTATCTGTAAACCACTCCGCTAATTATTGTCTCGCGCTGCTTCCACCATTACCTCCTCACTCGTATTCAATTAAATAAGCACACACTTATTAATTATTCAAATGGTGTTCCATCCAACATTGCAAAATGAGACGACGAGTAACCACGCTGAAATGTGGATGTTAATGAGTTGCACCGTGCATCTACGTACGTCAATTAAATAAACTACAAAACCGGATTGAAAGCTCACGATATTTTATAGCCGTAATTACATCTCATTCATCCCAACGGAAAATACATTCATTATGCGTAAAACGTATTGTTTGACTAAGTGAATAATTATACCGTTTATGTTATCTGCTTCGATTTATGGAAGAAATAGACGATTTTCTATGGCTAATTGAACAGTTTCAGGACGGAGGAGACCACACAGACCACAAGCTTGGACACATTTGACAACAGACTTGTTCTCTCACGTTTTTCCTTTTTTATGAGCTCGAAACGCAAACTGTGAAATTATATTTGCACACTCGACTTCCCACTATAAAAACAGGAAATGTTAAAGTAAATGTGCTAAACCTAATTGCCCAGGAAAAAATCGTATTTGAACAAGATGACATTAGAATACATACTCTGCGAACGCACGAAAAATTTGGCCGTTTCAAGCTAAAATGTTATCTTTTTTCTTATTCAGAACATTTTAAAACTAAATTATTTTTTGATGGTTTCTTTAAATTCTTAGAATGTTTTTAAGTATGCCAATGTCAGAATTTGGAAGTTGAACGTGAAAAATTTTCAATTTATGATTGTAACTTTGTCATTAACATAAAAAAAAAAGAAAAGAAACATAATTTAAGCGCAAGAAATCGAAATTACGAATTTGAAACTCAAAATTTTGAGTTTTACCTTACTTACTGGTCTTTAAAATATTTAATTAAATTTTTAAATTAAAAATTAAATCTAAGTGCATCTTAAATTATGATTTTAATTTAGAGAAACAAATAAAAAAAAATCACATTTTACCATAAGTTTAATATACAGGATGTCCCAGCGAGTTGAAAAAGTCTATTAGTGACCTTTAAATGGTAAAATTTAAAAAAAATGTATAGGACATATAAATAAATATTTACTAATCTAGACATATTAACATACAGCATGTCCCAAAAACAAGTTACGATACAAACTTGTGTTTTTTTTTAATACATTTATGGATATAGCCTTTTAAAACAATGTTTTTACTCTAAACTTTTAAATAGTAGATTTTGCTTAGTTTTAGAAATAAGACGTTTTTTTGACGTAAACATGCACTTTTTATTACACAAAAACTAAGACAGCTAGAACAAACTTTTTCTTACTTCTGCAAAGAAGAAAGTACAAAATGTAAAGCTGTAGCAATTTTTTAGTGTTTTGCATTTGTAAAGATTAATAAATTAAGAAGATTGTTAAAACTTAAATAACTTAAAAAATTTAAATGGAACATCCAATTTTTGATTCTTGCGTCTAATAGATTGGTAAATTGTCTATCTAAAAAATAAACTTTTAATGTCTAGTATTAATAAATGAAAAGATATTTAACATTCAATATTAATTGTAGTTGATTTCTCCAGACATTGTAAAAGTCATTATAAATACTGAAATTCAAATTATTTTATTTATAATGGATTCAGTTTAACACAAATGTGATTATTAAGTGATATTTCATCCATCTCATGTGCAACTGTAGTTTTTGGCTACTGAAACAATAGAAATTATTTTTTTAATGTTTAACGTTAAATATCTTTTTAGTTATTGTTTATAAACACTTAAAAGAAAACAATTTTAGAAAGACAATTTAATAATCTAAAAGATTATGCAAAAACAATAAATAGGGTGTTCTATTTAATTTTTTAAAGTTACTGAACTTTTAACAAACGCCTTCATTTTTTTTATCTTTGCAAATGCAACACACAAAAAAATGTTACAACTTTATAGCTTGTACCTTCTTTTTTGCGGTAGTAAAAGATATTTCTAGATGTCTTAGTTTTTGTGTAATAAATTTTTTAAAAGTGCATGTTTTCGTCAAAAAACCGTCTTATTTTTAAAATTAAGCAAAATCAACCAATAAAAGTTTAGCTTGAAAACATTGTCATAAAAATCTACATCCAAAAACGCTAAGAAACATAAGGTGTTTCATTTAAAAAAACACAGTTTGTATTGTAACTTATTTTTAAGACACGCTGTATAGTTGAAAATAATTTTAGGCGATGGATTAAATTAGTATCTATCAATGTCTTAGATAATTTTTTTTATTTTACTCTCAATAAAATTTAGTATTTTTAGCCATTTTTGTAAATTCCAGGACAAGTTATTAAAATATGAAAAATAAAATTAAGATACATCCACATTTTTCTAACAACTTTTAACGTAAAATGTTCCAATCGTTTAACCTAAAGTTCCAGGTGTTTGAAATAAGTTTAGAAATAAAAGAGAATGGTTTATTAAGTTTTGTTCATTTTTCCTTTTATAACATATACAAAATTAAACATAAACTTTGTCAAGTAAACGCAAATAAAATAACTTAAAATGGTAATAAGTAAGCGTTTCAGATGAATTCTTTAAAATTTTGTAATTTCATTGATAGCTACAAAAATTTTGAAATTTATTTTGAAATCAGCTCTCTGCCATCCTTGAAACTGCCTTGAAGAAGAGCAAATAGCGGCAAACAGGACACGTAACTGTCCATCAACCATTTGTACTAAATATTCTAGAATTTTCCTCAAATCCTGCTTCTTATCTCATTGTTTTATCACAATTCGATGATTTTTAACATGCTTTTCGCCATCGAGAATACAGCAAAGGTCGTGGTAATTATGCAAAGTTTTCTATGAAAAAGGAAGCCGTAAACCCACCTAACTGGTACAAATCGACCGTCTACTCTTTTCGCTTGTACTATCAACGATTTCTTTGCATTCATATCATCGTAAAACATCCGTTTTATGCAAAATGCTTGAAGAGAACACTTTTTGTTTAGTTAATTTCCCGCTTCGTGCCACTAAACATGTTCGAATCGACCGTAACAAAACGTGCTTAAAAGAAAATTCGAAAATCTTGACCTAATAACTAGTTTTTATAAAGATTCTCGGAAATTGTCGCTGAAACCAGTTTCACACGACGACTATCACTCGAATTTTTGTTTTTATGGCGGCGCGCCGCAACGGTCCATTGTCGGGCCTCTGCTTTGCAATTCATGGCGCGCATCTCCATACAATACCGCGGCGAAAAAAGACGCCGATTTGTCTGGCGGTGCCACTAGCGTGATTTCAAAGTGTTTTTCTCATGCTTGGGACAATGCAAATACTATAAATGGTTTGCATTTTGGCCCACTTTTATTTAAAGCAATTAGGTACCAAATTAATCAAGACATTTGCACTTTTGAAATTAGTTATCAGAATTCCAATAGAATTTTAGATTTGTTTGTTGAAATTTTTGTCAGGAAGTCTAAATTTTGTCAAAACTTTTGATTTTGCTTTTCTTAAAAATTTCAAACTAA